GCCTCGTTCAAAAAGGCGTATGAACCGAACTCCGGTCACCGGCTGCCAATGGATAGTGGACTCCCTACTCCACTCCTACTGCCTTGTAGGTCACACTCGGTTGTGTAAAGTCTAGAGCTGCACTCTCAAACAAATGGCCGAGCGATTCTGGGGACATCACTCGTACCAAATTCCCATGAAACTTCATGAACTCTCTTACAAACTCATCGCCGCGCCTGGGCAGCGATGATTCGAGATGTTCATGAAGCCGGCTCATCCTCCCGTAGGAGATAGCCGAAGTAAAGTAAGTAAGTATTGCTAACCTCACCATATACCAACCTTTCCTCCTCACCAGGCTTACCAGTGCCTAAACGAGATTTAGGAACGAGTGTATTGGACAGGAATTGAACCTGAACCTCTCCCCGAATACATGTGGTTGGCGAGCCTTCTACCAGTGAACCTCATGATGAATTCCTCCAAACCAATACTTGATAACTGATCTGCTGCTCACTAGCGACTGGTCCTATTCAGGTAGGTAGTCACCTGGGGTTCTAGTAGGAAGTTGTGACCAGTAGGGTACAGTATGTTGAAGGTGAGAGCAGTAACTCATTGAAGAAGACATTGAGAAGTGGCCACGCTATGTCATGAATTGGCAGAAGTTGCAATTCATTGGTCGGCTCTCCATTGGATCGGGTCCCAACGGCTGAATGGTCTTTGAGCTCAACTTTTACCCTAAAAGTCCTGGCTTCGAATCCCCGACTGGTGAATACCACTGAAGAGTCCCAAACTAGGACGACGACAGAAACAGCTAACTGTCCAATGTTTCTCTAACTAATGAAACACACTGTTCTCACTCAGACTCCTTGCTAAATAAACGGGCATAGATAACTCATTACAAGAACATACCTCATGAATAATAACAGCATCAAAAGGCAACCTACCTATATCTGTTAAATTATCATCTTGTTGACTTTGTGAAATTGTGTATTGTTGAAGAAGAACAGTCCATTGAGAAAGATACTTCGATTCACTGGCTGATAGACTAACTTCGATGTTTTCTTGAAATGTGGTGGGTGGGGGGTGGGGGAGAAAACAAGCTGAAGATTAAGACTTTTTAAACAAGAACTTCACATGGAACAACAAGCGGATGAATACTAATCATTCTCTGGACTAAATAATCAACACTTACATTCATCACATTTAATTTATGATGCAGGATACAGTGAAAAATAATATATATATATATACATATATATATATAAAACAAAGTACCATAAGCATAATAGATCACTTTTTCTTGAAAAAAGGAGTAGGGTGCTCTAGTAATCTAACAGTTTGTCCAGAATGTGCTTTTTAGTATGTCGTTAAAGGCTTTGGTCACTTTCATGCTGCTGGCTACCCCTTTTCGAGTATTAGCGGACATTCAGTCGGCTGTGTACCATTCATAAACGACTGGTTCAGGCCTCATAGAATTGCCTCTCTAAGTAGGTTAGTTTCAAATTGATCAACGCTGACTAACACAGTCTTCACGGCCATTTGTGTCTAGAACGAAAGAATTTGTCCATGCATTTAATGACTTTATATGGTCCATTATATGGGGGTTTTAGCGGGGGACGTACTTAGTGATGACGAAGAAATACATGTGAAGACAATTATAGAAATAGCGAGGGCAAAAACGTCCATGGACTACGGGTCGGATGGAAGCAGGCTTAACTGAACGCATCGTGTCTGTGAGCCTGCTGACGTACGAGACGAGATCTACAGCTAGTGGAGAACTGGAGGGTGAAATAAACCCAAATGGCAATTGTAGTGTTGTTCCATATACCAGTTTAGCAGTAGTACAGCCAGCATCAGTTTTCAATACGTCTCGCATGCTGAGAAGGACTAAGGGTGGTGATTCAGGTCAATATGCAGCGTTTGCGGCTGATAATCCAGACTCCAACTGTTGGTGAAAACGTTCTATCATACCAAATGCTTGGGGATGGTAAGCTGTTTAGAGTCAAACCTAAGAATAGGCAGCCTTCGAATAGCCACCCGCGATCGGTTGTAATAGGGGATGGGAACCCAAAATTTGCAATCCATCTTTCCACGAAAATGTATGCGACTGTTTCAGCAGATACACGTCCCTGAGGGGTACTACCTCAACGAAGGTTAAAAAACGAGTATATCTATGAGATTATGGAAAGGGTCCAACCAGATCTATGTGAACGTGGTCAGAGCGAGCATCTAGGGTATGAAAAGTGCCAAAAGCGATATTAGTATGTTTTATTACTTTGCACTTTTGGTAAGCTTAACGCGTACAAGCCCAATACAGTACTTCCTTATCTATACCACGCCAAAGAAATCGACTTCTTGAAAAGATGTTGAAGAGCAATGGTTAACCTCAAAGATTCATTAAAACAAGTACGGAAGATCTGAAGTCTCAAATGTCAAACAAATCACAGCGGAGAAAAAGCCAATCAACATCCGACTTGATTATAAAGGTGAAAATATTGCAGCAATGGTCAACAAAAGACTGAGTACGTCACTAGCCAGAGCCTATCCTGCAGCTAGCTAAGCTGGTTCCCGTCTATCGAATAACTTGCTCTCCTTTGGTGCAATCAAAAATCGATAGATATCCTTCTCATGTTAACTCTAACTGTATATACAAATTTACATGTATCTGCGGGAGCAGTTACATTGGAAGGACAGAAAGAAGAAGGGCATATCTACGATTTTCTGAACATGTATCAAAAAGCCTATGTCTAAAGGGAACAAATACTTTAAACAGTGCCATCACCATGCATCTCTTTGACACGGGTCATGAAGTGGACATTGCAAGATCGTTCAAAATTATCAATAAGCAAAAGAGTTCAATTCTCCTCAAGTTTGCTGAAGTCATCTCCATCAAGCGCCTGAAACCTGATTTATGCGTTCAGAAAGAAGCGGTTATCAGTCTTTCCTTGTCCTGTTGCCAGGTAACGGGATATTTTCATCCTCTCTTTCATCTAATTACGTAACGCAGAAAGTTTCGATTGTGCATGATCATTACTGTTCGGAGTAGTGTTTAATATATATATATATATGCATACATTTATTGATTTTTGTTTCAAAATGAACTCTCTGCGGGTAAGTGTGTTAAAATAGTTTCTGTAGATATATTTAATAGTGACTTTGGCCCGTAAGCAGCTGATGAGAAGCCAAAGAAATAAATGATGGTACCATTTTATTCTGTTAAAACTGTAGTTCTTGCTTTATTCAAATCGACTTGTATTGAGCATAACGGTATTTCGGATTCCTCAGTGAGATAAGGCGATAACTTTTAAGTATGATAGGACGAGGAGTACTTGTAGAAATGTCACAGAGGATAGTAGCCTTACTTAGACCCGACAGTTTCTCGTGTAATTCCAGAGTAAATGTCGACAACTCATTTACAAGTTCGGTCTCCTCTTTTTCAAGACGAGTCAATTTTACAAGGTCTATGTCATTTATTTAAACGAAGGAACAGATGCCAATCACTTACTGACAGAACAATATTTTCTTGATATGAGGGTAAGATTAAGACTTCAGATATGAACTTCAAATGGTATGGTATGAAAAGAAACAGTAAGTCGATGAATACTAATCATTCCGTGAACAATGCAATCATCACTTACGTTCATCACATGGTAATAATTCATTTGCAGTTGGCATTTTTGGAAAATTTTCAGACTTATCAAATTTTGAGATTCGACGCATTTCTTCTTCAGTCCACATAGCTTCAAGACCAGGATTTATAGAAGGATTAACTATGTAGAGAAAGTGGATGTGAAAAAAACCCAGTAAATCAGTGAGAAAATGGATGATGTAATATGACTTTTAATGCTTATAATACAATATTCAAAAGTAAGTTAGTATGCATAAGTAAGAGGTGGATACATTTGTGAATAAAGTTAAGTGAAATAACTAACTTATTGATCCCTTGATTTGCCACCTTACTCCACCTCTGGCTTAGTAGACGTGATTTCCAGCTGGCTGTCGAACAAAAGGGAGTGTGTACTGCTCAGCAGTCACTTCTCTCCATCTTCCTTTATGGCTGCGAGTGGGACATGACCACTGAAAGTTGAAGACATGAAAAGTCCCGCTAGCTTTTTTTGATCATAGGTGGCTGCATTCTATCTCCATTGTTAGGTGGTGGTATAATACGGTAAGTAAAATTGAGTTTAGGAATCGGTCGACTGTTAGGTAAGAAGGCAAAATTAGTCGATGAGGTTGTCAAGTTTCACCGATTAAAGTGACTAGGACATGTGTTGTACATGCCTAGCCATCGATCGCCGTTCTCGACGGGCAATATTCACTGACTGACAGAGGACCAGGTTGGAAAAGAGCTAGCATGTGGTGGTCAAACCAAAACATGGCTTCATCAGTCAATGAAATCCACAACAGTTAGTTTAAGCTAGCCAGAGAGCCACGTAGGGAGTTGTAGACTTCCTGCCTACCTGGTTGGGGTCCTCGGGATGGCAAAAAGCCAATGGCTGGCGCAGATGCATTTACTCTTTGTGATTCATCATATCCAATAAAATTCTGTTGTTCTTCCATATTACTATTCTTTTTGCCTCACTCACGCCTCTGTTTATTATCTTTCTCTCTTTTGAATCTCTCTTTACCTAATCTCTTCTCTTGCTTTGTGTGCTACATGGATGGAGTGTGGCAACTCGAACTGGTGCACATCTATGCAAAGTTCTAATATTGAAACCAGTCAGTCAGTGATTTGTGTCAATAGGTGCTTAGAGTATTGTAAATAATTCATACTTCTGTAGGTATCATTGGGCATACGATGATAGACTAAATAAGAGTGCACAAAGCATACTACTGGTCAAGTTAGGTGGTGCAAATTAAAAGCATCATTAAACGATCACCTTACACCTTTTTTTACCCAGTACAAATGATTAGTACTTTAAAACACCTACAGTTGTTAATTAGGTTTTGCGTCGGTGATCCAATAACGGAATGACAGTTAGTTACGCCAAAAGTCCGAGTTCGATCTCCAGCTGACACACTCCTAATCCTCGCCTAGTCTGGTAGCCGGTAGTGAACCCCATTAAGAGGGGGACTTAGATGGTGGGCTCGGTAGCAACACCATCGTTACTGAAACTTCAAATCTGAATGCTTGAAGCCCTATGTTTCACACCTGATATGCAAAGGGATAAAAGAAAAATCATGCCCTCTCACCACCCTATTATTCATTATTCCCTCGATGCTGAGTGGAACGTAGGGCTTTTCAACAGCCCATCTATCTCATCCTGTTTTTTGTAATCGTCTTTAGCTAGTTCCTTTGAGTGTCCGTAAGCTCTCATCTCCTGCTTACGCAGTCTCCTTCGTGTCACTCTTGGGTGCCAGACTCATCGTTTCTCATACGGGTTCCACTCGAACAATGGTCTAGAGCGCGATATCACTCAACGGTCTACTTTAGGTTACGACACTATGCTCCTTTGACCTTTTAGCAACTACTTGGTCCGGTATTCAGTGGTCTGTTAGTTTGTAAAACAGCGCTACCCTCAACCAAGACACCAGGACGAAATCTACATTGAAAATAATCGAAATCCCTACAAAAACTCATAATCTAAATATGTATTTATTAGACAACATGACCCCTGGAATGATAAAAGCATAAAGTTAGATCTGTGCGTGGGCGATGAGGTACGATTTATCCGTATACAACAGCCAATAAAGCAACTAGGTTAACTATTATTAATCTTCCATGACTATTGCTCCTCTTTGTTTTTGTACTCCTGTGTTGCAACATACCAGGTTTAATCAAGTAATGAACGGTAGTAGTGTATGGAAGTTTAAGAGATTAGCAACCGAAAAATGTGATCACTCAGTAGAGTGACAGATTTTATGTGTTCTGAAAGGAACACTATTTAATACAATTGAGTAGTTACTCACTACTTTCAGTTTACAAAGTTCACTGTGCAATAATACTGATCGTATAGAGTTTGAGTAGTAACTTAGAGGGCCACTGTCTCGAATCCTACGTTTCCGTTTCAGTTTTAGTTATGACCCGTTGCACAGTCAGATGCATTTCAACTTTAACTTCACTGGTCAGTTGTGACTTACTTTTCATCTTAAATTATCTCTTTTCATTAAGTCATGGGTCGGAGCCAACCCGCCCCTGGTCCTTTTCGACCTACCCAGATCCTGACAGCCGGGAGTAGTATTACTACCTACAATAAATGAGGTGTGGCTAATTATCTACCGCACATAAAGGTAGGTGATTGTTAAGTCATATTTCCCTTCACAGTTATTTATGCTTCAGTTCCAGTTTGCAGAACAATCTATGAAGTAAACACATTTCCACTTCTTCTGCGACCGATAGTCCAAACAGACGAGCTAATCAACAAATTTTGCATGGGTCTAAAATGCTACACTTAAAATAAGCATCTTATGGACAAAGAAATGAAAGCAAAAAATATCAGTAGTGAAAAATAAGAGGGAAAGCTAAAAATAATTGTGTGAAATAAACTTTTAAAAATAAATAACAATCTCATAAAGTTTCAGAAGAAGAAAAAATAATAACTCAAGACATACTTCCAAGCTCTCGACGATTCAGAATATCCCATGCAGATATATCAACTTCCAATTCCATACTAGTGTATTTAGGAGCACATTTTGGTTGTAATAAATGTTCTCTAATGATGAAAAATAATAAACAGAATAATTATTTCTCTAGAAGAAGAAAAAACTCATTTAGTATTCCTAACTTTAGTATTATTGTCAAAAAGCTTTTGTATATTTATGTAGCATCAAACGTGAACAATGAGATTAAACTATCAAATGAGATGTGGTTCATCGTCTTTAAGGATGTGCCTAGTCATCGCCTTCCTCGACAATGGGCAATGTTAGCTGACATAGGGTCAGGCTGGAAAAGAGCTAGTGGCAGTCAAACCAAAACATGGCACCAGTCAATGAAATCCCCAACAGTTAGTTTAAGCCGCGTAGGAAGGTGTAGACTTCCTGGTTGGAGTCCTCGGGACGGTAAAAACCAATGGTTGGAAACAATTGGTGATATGGCTCAAAATCGTTCTCAATGGCGCAGGTGCATCCATACCTTGTGACTTATGATTTCCAATGAAACTATATTGTTCTTTGTTACTACTACTCCTTTGTCTCTCACCTCTGTTTACTGTCTATATTATCCATTTCTTCTACTTTCTTCTCTTGCTTTGTGTCCTACATGGGGTGTGGCGACTTGAGCTGCCGCACATCGGTGCAAAGTTCTATGTCGAATACAGACAGACAGAAGGATGCGGTTTCGAGACGTTCAATCAAGGTTTTAAGTCCCTCCCGACCAATCTCACACACACTGAGCAATTGGGAAGAATCGATAAGCTCTCATCCACAAAAGGTGACTATTAGCCTGGCATAAGGAAAGTCTGTTCCCGATAACTGAACTTCAATAAACAGGTCATGAAAACTTAACCAACTTCATCAATTCTGAACAGTATACCTACTTTCGAAAAACACTCCTGTTATGAAGCTAAACTATAGTTTATGAAAGGTACTATTTCATGGGATCAAACAGTCACCAGTTATTGTAAAACATAATTACTCGCTGAGTATTGCATGGTACATATGGATTAAACCAAAACAGTGCTGTAAAATAAATGAATTACAACGTATTAAAATTATCCCATCTGCAAAGAAGATCGTCATATTATTCAATGGAAAATTTTCTAAGTGTCTTTTATTTCACAGGTCATCAAGGTTAAGTAGTCTTAATGTATACTATTGCTTGTGGAGATTATGAATGATAAAAAAATATTGGTTGTCATATAACTAAGTTTGATTGGAATGGCTTCATTACTCCATCCGACTAACATTTCTACAAAAGTAGGACAATATCACAGATGAAATTCCACATTTATTTTTAATGAGAATCTCTTAAGGGACTAACACACTCCAAAGACGTCAACATTTAAATCATATGAATAACTAAACAAGAAAGCACAAATACACTAACTTACGAGTTGAGTTTTGAAGGACTCCACATATTTTCTGAATTTTTCAGCAATGATGGGAAATTTATATAATCAGATGCTAGAAACAGTTAAACAGTAGATTTGAAAAACTTACTACGAAATTTAAAATATCCTGCATATAGCAAATTCATGCCGTACAGATTATAATCCACACAAAACTATATCTGAAGTAATATACATAAAAGATTAACATACCTGTAGCAAGTATGGGATATGCGTTTCATAAGTTTGAAATACACGATTTAACACAGCACCACTTTGTAATATTTCAGAACAGACAGTCACTATAGCAGGATCCACAAGGTACAACTTGATAAAGGGTCTTTCTGTATCATGATATCCATATATAGAACTATACTGGTGAAAGTAAAATAACATAACTTACAGACCAGACACCACTGAAGCATCGAAAATGTACATATCTTTCATATTATAGTTGTTCAGCTTGGTACGAATAGATTTTTCAAGACTGAAGACAAACGACCGAACAAAGTCACCGCCACCCAACTCATAAGTTGGCAGGTCAACGTAAAAATACGGCAAAACTCCATGTACATTACAACAGATTTTCTGACCTTGAAGGGGTTATAGGATACATTGTTTCATTTACCTGTAGAAGCTGTACCATACACTCGAATAACTGGCATACGGCTTGAAAATCTTCCTGAGAAACTTGAATAATTCATATCTAGCAAATCTATCGGTGGAGAGAGGTAGTAATCCAAGTGAAAGATCTTTATTGTCAGGCATCCTGATGACATGAATCAAAGTAACCACTACGAACGACCTAAGTCAGTACTCTATTTTCGGTGGATTCAAACACTCAAACACAGAAGTCTCACATTTATCGATAGAGAGTAGACGGCTTGAAGCCTGTGTTAATCCTTTTCTGATAAATTTCTATACTCGTCTAAACCCTTCTTGAATGACTCTATTAGGGGCACTGACGCCAGTTCTTCTGGCAGTCGGTTCCAGGAATTTATCCAGTATCGCTTTTTACGGTAGACGTCAAATGTCACGTCCTAGAACAGCTGTTAAAATTTCACTTGGAAATTTTATTTTGTCAATAATTTTTAATAAAATTGTGTTATATGTTATCTGGATTGATGGGAATTCCCATTTTCTGGCCAGTTATTTTGGTGTCCGCGTCATGTAATCTGACTGCGACACCCCCTAGCATATCGGTTGCAACGATCAGTAATTCAGGCGAAATGTAGCAAAATATCGCTATAATGAGAAAGACGGGATAGTTGAAAGGTAATGTCATCTACACAAATAGTCTAATTTATTTAGATGCTGCACCTTTCGGCATGGTATCATTAAATTGAGACTTCACGTCTCAGGATATTAATTCAGCCTATTTTCGTGTGAAGAGTCCTTTTTGACAAAAGGATTCTATCAGCACTTGGAAATCACCTGTAAATGCTAACAGAACCTTATTAATAATCACTTTATTCCACAACAATAACAATTTACAGCATGGAATTTTCAGCGTTTCATTTTACATATTGCATTGGTTTAGCTCTTTTTATAATTATATAAATGTAAGAAATGTTAAAAATATTGATAATTAATAGGAAAAAATAAAAACCCCAACAAAATCACACCATTTCTAGGTCACAGTGAATAATAAATAAATAATATAACAAATCACACATGCAACAATATGTATCACTACATTTTATAGTTTAGTTAATAATTCAAAAGTTGTAAAAGTTCTTTTCTGATATTCGTCTCTTCACACAATACTCGTGCCAAATATGGTACGGTCGAATTTTTATATTTTGTAGTACGAGCATAAGTGTTTATGAAATTTCTTCTGGTCTTACCCGAAGAGATACAAGGAAACAAATGTGAACAAAGAGGATGTTCACTATCTGACAAAATAACTTTAGCTAAGTGTTTACAAGAATTCATATGCCTACTGACAGCAGTGTCGGTTAGTTGAGTCAAAGGGATAGCACTGACCCTACTTGCAGCCTTCAATGTTCTTCGTAGTATTATATAGTCTTTCTTGAGTAGTCCAGGGAAGAATAATGGAGAACAATAAAGAATGATGGGCATGTAGCGGTAAATAATTCCCCAAAATTATTAACCACAGCAATCATCACTCAACATTGGATGCTGACCATCACTGTTTAAGTCGACTTGTTTAGCTGAAGGCTTACGGTCAAGCATCCCCGCCATTTGGTGCTCCGTCGTGTCACGTGCGTGCACGATTACTAGCTAGCTAAGCATTCATTCCTACCCGCGATTTGGTCCCAAAATATATATCGTATTTGGACGACAAAATCTGGTCTTTTGCTTTACCATTTGGTACTCGAAGAACGAACACTATAGTGGTTGTTGGTATAAGATCTTGCGTTAGTATAATCCGTACAACTCGCGAACGTTCAATACCCAACCGCGAACTACATCTTCACACGCAGATAAACCCGGTGAGTTCGTTCCTTTTTGTGTTTATTCTTGTACTATATTGTTATCGGCATACTTTTCGTCATGAGTGATCCTAGCCCCAAGGTTATTCAGATTCGCTCAACCGCCAAAACAATTCAGCTAGTACCATTTTGGCCAGATAATGCTGAAACGTGGTTTCAGATTGCTGAGTCCGATTTTTGTGAACATGGCGTAACTGATCAACGTTCACAGTTCCTTGCAGTTATTCACGCCCTACCGCGGGAATTCAGCAAGTGCGTAACTCTGCAGATGTCGGTAAGTAACTCGTACGAGTTTCTCAAAGCATCCATCCTCAAGAGAAACGTTCTCACAGATCGACAACGTCTGGATGAGTTATTTCGTAACATCGAGTTAGGGGGCCAGCCAGCCGTGAGCATGCTGGCAAGAATGAAAGAGATCATTGGCTAAAGTCAGTTCGATGAAGGACTGTTTAGAGAACTATTTTTATCCAAACTGCCACAGTCAGTTCAGACTGTACTTGTGACACTTCAGGGTGTTCTCATAGATGATTTAGCTGTCTCTGCAGATAGAATTCTAGAGATAACGAAACGGCCAGTCACCGAAGTATACTCTGTTACCGAACAGACTTCGAAGAAGGATTCTGCAATGATAGAGTTAATCAACTCCGTCCAGCAGATGCTTAGGTCAAACAAGCCTAGCAATTCCTCAAACCGTCGTTCTAGATCCCCTCAACGGCAAAACGCACGTGGACGATCTAAGTCCAACACACGTTCTGTCAAAAATCCTGACTGGTGTTGGTATCACAACACCTATGGCAAGGAAGCGAAATGTTGTCGAAAACCTTGTGATTTCGGCAAAGCCTCCAAGTCTGTGGGAAACTATCCCGCCGGCACGCGTTAGCGGCAACCGTCGCCGGTGGCACTAGCCGCTTACTTTACATCCACGATGTAATTAGCCAGACTAGATATCTAGTCGACACAGGCGCCGAAGTCAGCGTCCTTCCTGCTACAGCAGCAGATCGACAGAAGGATCCTAACTTCAACCTACAGGCTGCAAATGGAAAACCAATTGCAACCTATGGTCGGAAATACGTCTATCTGAACGTAGGTTTACGCAAACCTATTCAGTGGATTTTCCTAATCGCTGACGTCACAATGCCCATCATTGGCACGGACCTACTTAATCATCATGATTTGCTCGTAGACGTCCGCCGTAAACGATTAATTGACAACACTACTAGTTTGTCTATCAAAGGCATAACTTACGTAGGCCCCAGCTTGTCAATCGTTAAGATGAAAGCAATCCTCGATCCAACTTTTCAACCGATTGTTGATAAATATCCGGAACTGAATTGCCCATCTAACGACCTCCCGTGCATAACCAGCAATGTTATGCACCACATCATAACCTCAGGACAGCCCGTGACATCTGAAGCACGACGACTGGCCCCTGACAAACTGAGAATTGCCAGAAACGAATTCGATCATATGCTCACCCTTGGCATCATTCGCCCATCGAATAGTCCATGGGCATCCCCGTTGCATATGGTACCGAAAAAGGATAGCAACGATTGGCGACCCACTGGTGATTACCGGCGAGTGAACGCCAAAACAACCCCTGATTGCTACCCTTTGCCTCACATACACGACTTGACGGCATCGCTATCTGGAGCATCTATATTCTCCAAAATCGACTTGGTTAAAGCATATAACCAAATCCCGATGGCAACGGAAGATATTCCGAAAACGGCTATCATCACGCCTTTCGGACTTTTTGAATTCCTACGTATGCCATTCGGCCTCCGGAATGCGGCACAAACATTCCAACGCTTCATCAACGAAGTATTTCGCGGTCTCGACGTTGTATACGCATACTTAGACGACTGCCTCATTGCCAGTCCAGATAAGGAAACTCACCTTAGACACTTGGACTTGGCATTTGAAAGGTTACGCCAACATGGTGTTACCATCAATATACAGAAGTGTCAGATAGGTGTTGACTCACTCGATTTTCTGGGTCACACTATTGACTGTCAGGGCATACGCCCACTGGCTACCAAAGTCGAAGCAATACTGAACTTTCCGGAGCCAAAGACAGTAAAATGCCTTCGCACTTTTAACGGCTTGGTAAGTTATTACCGACGTTTTATTCCTAATTGTGCTTCGCTAATTCAGCCATTAACCGATCTCCTTCGAGGGAACAACAAGGCTATCGAACTCGACACGTCTGCTCGACATGCTTTTACTCAGGTAAAGAAAGCTATTGCAGATGCCACCCTTCTTATGTATCAGGATCCAACGGCACCGTTGAGTATCTCGGTTGATGCATCAGACACTGCAATCGGCGCAGTTCTGCAACAACTAGTTAACAACGAGTGGCAACCACTCGCCTTTTTCTCGAGGCGCCTTCAAGTAGCTGAAACGAAGTACAGCACATTCGGAAGGGAACTTCTAGCTATGTACTGTGCTATACGTCATTTTCGACATTCAGTTGAGGGTCGTGAATTCATCATTTTCACTGACCACAAACCTCTGACGTACTCTCTGAACTCAACTTCAGATAAGTATTTACCAAGGGAATCGCGACAACTAGATTACGTTTCACAGTTTTCATCAGATATTCGCCATGTTTCCGGAGTGAACAACACTGTGGCAGATGCCTTGTCACGTATTTGTTCTTTCACCGAAATCGACGGCATAGACCTTGTAAAACTGGCTCGTCTTCAAAAAGAAGATATTGAACTTCAGCGTGAGTTGTCGAAAACAACTCTACAACTAGCCAAGAAACCCTTAGGTATAGGAAAGGATACTATTCTGTGTGACATTTCCACTAGTACTCCTCGCCCCATCGTGCCTAAAAGTTATCGCCGTAACGTCTTCAATACGTTGCATGGCTTATCCCATCCAGGTATTCGAACTACCGTCAAGCTCGTAACTAGTCGGTTTTGTTGGCCTGGTATTAACAAAGAAGTAAGGGAATGGGCACAGACGTGTTTAGCTTGTCAAAAGTGCAAGGTAATACGACACACTAAAAGCCCCCTTGGCACTTTTCTTATCCCTGATGCCCGTTTCGAACACGTCCATATAGATTTAGTTGGCCCCCTTCCAGAATCTCATGGATACACCTATATGTTAACCTGCATCGATCGCTTCACACGATGGCCTGAAGCAGTACCCATCAAGGATATATCTGCTGAAACTGTCGCACGCGTCTTTGTAGAGAGATGGATCGCAAACTTTGGATGCCCATCTTCCATAACAACTGATCGTGGGCGGCAATTCGAAAGCGGTTTATTCTTCGCTTTGACTAAAATCCTTGGTTGCATGCGTTTTCGAACGACAGCCTACCATCCTCAAGCTAATGGT